ANNNACGAACGCTGAGCGCTTGATCATGAACGTAAGCCCCTTACTTTTGTACGAGATTGTAGATAAAATGCTCAAAGATGGGGTGGTATGACTTACGCTTGCTGCATCGACAGGAAAGTGGATGTAACGTTTTCTAGTTTTCACACCACTGTCCGATCAGGTTATTCACAGGTCGGAAAGAAGGGAATGAGTTGGGTGGTCGAGGGTAAGGTGGGTATTCATCGGCAATTCCTGGTTGGGTTATGAGTGCTATATGAGGACATGTAGCACTCCGTAGTTGGGGACCATCTCGGTAGATAAGAAGATGCATTACAATGCTATGGCGCGTTACGCAGCGCTACGTAACGCGCCATAACGCGGTGTAACGCTGAAATCGAGGTCATTTTGACCCTCAAAATCAGGATTTGCTGATGTTGAGACGGTATACGTCCTGGGAGGACGTACAAGTAGGCGATTTGTGACCATATGGTATTGTCACGTCTGCCACAGCACATTCTCAGTCGATAAGAAGCAATTATCCACCTGTTCAGGAGAGTGTATGAGTTTCGCACAGACTAATTTAAGTGCAAATACGAGCCGTGTCTGCAGGTGGAATGAGGCCATGCTGCTCTTTCCTCCGTAACAATCCATGCGGTCCACTTAAGGTGTATCTTCTGTTGTTGGAGTAGAAGAACGCGGAATAAATGTCGCTCGCGAGGACACAAAGGAAAGCAGCTCACATCGCGCTGAAGCGGTTCCTCACCCATACGCACTACTTCGTGCCTCTTGAATAACGACCGAGAGACAGCAGCATGTGTGAATGGATACAATTAACGGATGGAGCTGCTCATCTACGTATCCCCTTGTACAGACTGGACGACAGTGGGATGCCGGTGCACGAACGGGCTTCACGTTGCATACACTGAAAAAAAAAAATGAAATGAAAGTTGGGAGGAAGACCGGGCACACCGGTAACGTGGAGAAGCCAAGCACCCGCGGTTGAGCAACTTTCCTGATGAAAAGGGGGATGCGGTCTCGAGAGGAAGCAACGAGCAGTGCTACCTGCGCTCCATCCTACCGCGCTTATGACGCCACGCCTTGGAAGGAGGGTGCCGAAAGCGAGGAAGAGCAGATTAGGAGCTGCTCAATGCTTTCTTTCCTCACGGCAAATGCTTAAGCTGCAGAAGGGTAGTCAAGTGAGGGATGGGGGGATGGGCACAAGTGAGGCAGAGATAGAGAAGGGGGCGAGGGCTCGTTGCGTTCGTAGAATATGGGTCAAGCAGCTCGAAGATGACTGGTGTCAAAGGAAAACAACGCTGCGTAGGTGACGAGTCCGATCAGGAGGCCCGAAAAGGTGAAAGGGATCCGGAACTTCGAAATGAGCAGAGACAAGATGTGCACTAGACAGATGGATTCGGGCTGAATAGATGAGGCGCCGAAGAAATATTGTAAGCAGATAACATCGAAAATATATAGTCAAATCCAACGCACGAAAGTATCCCTCCCATGTCCACGTTTAACATCCTACTATGATTCCACCCACATAGATGCTGTGCAGCACAAGAATCACCCTAACTGGGTCTTCGAGACGCTTTACGTGGGCGTTGATGGAAAGATCCTCAACGATCTCTGTTCTGGTGAAAGAATGAGTGCTTGTTCAAAGGGAAGGATGAGATATACAATATGCCCTACAAGTGCTAGGCCTGTTTAATTTGACCCACGGTAACGAGAGATATCAGGTATTGGGAACGATTAAAAGGTGACGGAAATGGCGGAGAGATGAGGAACCAGGGAGGTCGAAGGATAGGGAGCGGGCGTTTATCCTGGCGAGGTGCTGTGAGAGGAGCGCTCATATTATAGTTCCGCAGAGACGAATGGAGCGCTAGAGCATAAAAAAGTGCTCCGTCATCGTGGTAGAGAGGAAGAAAGGGGGAGTGGCGTGATCGCGGATGAATCGGATGAATCGAAAGGTAAGTCAGATAATCAGATTAGATAAGCGTGTCCACACCTCAAAGGTTCGCCAGAGTACTTAGTGTCCTGTCGAATTGGAAGAATTGAAAGAATTGGCAAAGCCTACCAAAGGCCGAGTGAAATAAAGTAGCTGTGGTTCGTATTTTGATGTTGGACTTTCCACGGAGAGACAGTTAAAATGACCTCCCTACCTATACTCTAACCCGTGTTCCCATGCATTATTTCCTAAATAATTGGTTTAGATTCTCAATGTGAGGGGTGAAGAGAAATCGCACCACACAAATACCCAAATTTAAAGATGCGGCTGACGACACGAGGATCCGGAGGTTCCTCCATTTGTTGAAGCATGCATTCACTTAAGTCACCATACGGATCGAGAACCAATGGAGTGCTTACTCCACAAGTTAGAACGCGAAGAGGTAGATCAAGGATAATGTTCACAGCGGGGTCGAATATAGCCAGTGTCAGAATTTAGTTAAATAGTATGCAATGGGGCAGAAGAAGAGTCATGAGATATGTTGTTGCTAGATATTTGAGGGTGCTACCTCCGGCCGAGGTGTTAGGGGAAATGAAAGCCCCGTGCAGATATTTGGAGGGTATCTGCCCAAGATGATGAGGCAAACAAAAAAGGATAATGAAATGAACAATTGGGGGTGTTTATATCGAGGTTGGGCAGGACGACAATCCAATGAAAAAACGAGAGAGCATGTATCAATCATCAAGGACGCCTTCCCAATCCTAATGAGTGTTGAATGAATACGTGTCTTTGCAAACGAGAAGGTGTGAGGATGAGTGATGGCACTCTCTCGTCCTTTTCAGCGGAGCTTCGCAGCTGATAAATCCAAAATGTGCATCATGGAAGAGAGAGAGAGAGAGAGAGAGAGAGAGAGAGAAGGGAATGAGGTGGAGGAATGGTTTGACAAGGTAGCGCAGGCATCAGAGACAGGGAGAGAGCGACCTTGCTTGCCTGTCGACAGATACAGACAAGAAGAACAACGAATGAACAACACGAACTCGTGTAGGGCGAAGCGTGTCTGAGGGCGCAGCAGGATTAGGTCACCCTTTCCTTCATAACTCTGTCATACCGTGCCTAAATGTGAAGTGGGCCTGGTTATGAGGGGTGCGAAAAGATTTTGTAGTAAGAGAAAAACGAATAGAGGGATTATGAGAAGAGGAAGAAAGAATAGAGGGATTATGAGAAGAGGAAGAAAGAATAGGCCACGGGAGCGCGACGAGCAGCACCTCAGCCCGACAAGCTTGCGACCACGCCCGAAAACGCAAGTCCGCGGCAAAGCCGTGGGTGCGTCAGAGCTTGGAAGGGCGAGCGAAGGGGTTGCTTGTTGGCTCTCACGAGGCAGATAGTTGGAGAAATGAAGAAATAGCACTAAGAAAGTGAGTTGAGATAGCAACAAAGATGGCCACATAAACGAGACAGGGGTAGTCAAGGTGTCTCAGAGGAAAGGGTATCCCAAAGTTCGTGAGGGTCTGAAGTGCAAACATTTGAGATGGGTGATAAGAGGATGTTGAGCTTGAAATGAGAGATTAAGCAGACACTAGCGGGACTCTTATCGTGAGATCTTGGAGAGGTTGGACAGTCGTCGACCGTTGAGCAGGAAACACAAAATGGCCCACGTACCAGATAATCCATAACCAAATTCTAACGCACTCAGGCTAGCTCATCTTCCTCTCGCAACCACATTCGGTCCATTCCACCGCATCCGCACCTGACCATCTGCAACGATAACCCGAAATCGGCACTGGCTGAGGTGTCGAGACACAGGAGAGGGTAAGGCTAGACACTGTGGGAAGCGTTGGCGGTTTTTAAAACTGCATCGGCTGAAACTGCCCAGGAATGGCGGTTCCTTTAACTGTTTGAGGAAATGTAAAATTAAATGTGTCTAAAAATAGCGAAATAGCTGCCAATCGGGAGTTAAATTCCCCATCATCATGACGTCGTGACACTTTTACACGTGCAGGCCGCGGCCTTTCATGACCACGCCAATTGATCGCGCACAACTTCGTGTTGAAGTCACTTACTCAATGGACTTACAGAACATTGTTTGGCAGCGGCTTGTTTGTTCCAATAGGCAACCAAACAAAATGAGGATTTTTCGCTCATTTTGTTTGGTTGCCTATTACAACAAACAAGCCACTGCCAAGCATACTGTGACCACGTGATGCTGCCGTCGTCACTCCTGCCTCCGACATGTTGCTTCTTCCCTCCTACCACCATCTGCTACCTCCATGTCTACCATATCTCTGTCCCGATCCCCCATCTGAGGCTCAAGACAGGCATCCGTTTGCTGAAAATCTGACTGGATCACCCGTAGAACTGAACTACATGTTCCGATCTGGCTGATCCGGACTCCGATGGGCTGATCGCGGTCAATTGGGAACGTGAGTTCCGATTTTGTTCAGTGTATGCGCTCATTTCCATTCGACTTCACATATCTATGCTCCTCATCAACTCCGGACACCTATCGGCCAGGAGGCAGCTCCCAATCGTTTACAAAGGTGCGATCTGTGTCATCTCTTTTCCATGCGGCTAAGGTAAGTAACATACTACATCTATACGTACACTCATACATGTCTTATCTCGAAATTAGGTCACAAACATCAACAAACAGCTTCACCCTCCCCTCCCCTTCAACAGGGATGTGGGTGTCCCCCTCCGTGCGACTACCCACCCGCCGATGCTCGCCATTACCTCCCTTCATCTCTCTCTGCCCCGCTCTCCACGCTTGCCATTCTCGGAGCCTCGGCATCTCAGGTGCTGTGTAACGTTCGGATGGAGGTGGTGGTTGGCGTCTGTCCACCTCTCAGTCTCTCAACATCTCCCCTTCCCTGACCTACGGCTTGGCAACGACGACACAACGGGAGGGGCATGACAGTGGGTATCGGAAGAACATGGCTGTGGGGGGCACGGAAATGACAGCAGGCGGTAGCATGATGCGACGGCAGGGACAAGACCAACTTGATGGCGTCGGGCAAGCAGGAGCGACTGTTTGACCACAAGGATGAGGGGGTAGCAGCGCGAGCATGAGCAGGCGGGCGAGTGGATGGGCATAGATGAAAAGGCAGCGACAACCACGGCATGTAAGTCATCTTATTCGGATCGCATTCTTGGCTCAAATTCCTCGACTCGTAGGCTAATGAAAACTGGAAGCAACAGGATGGTGTGGTGTCGAGGCACAAGGTTTTATGTGGATGTTTCTGAAGCTAGGTAAGTCCACGATGCTCATTCGCTTTTCTTTTCAACCCCATCATGCATTTTCTGACCTCTGGTGAATACCGTCCCATCCTCTGCTCCAGCTTCACAACCAATACCACCAAGACACCTCCTGCTCTTTCAATTCATGACTTCGGGGCCGAAGTCTTCCAACAACACTTACGCATAGACACATCGGCGACGACGAGGTCCAAAACGAGGGTGCTTGGTACCCCAACGTCCAGCCTTCGCTGTGGCCTCCCTTCACCACTCGAATCTGCCACCACTGAGCTTAAATAGTTGTACATGTTACTGTTGCCGAAACGGTAAGCACATCTGTTGACGAGAGCTCACTATTTTTATTTTCGAATTCAACCTCAATATACGGCTATATTTGAGCTTCGCTAGCGCAGTATGCGGATTCCACAGGTATGTTAGTCATTTATGTCATGTGAATACTGTTTAAATTCTCTGTTTTTGCTCGTCAGTATCTCACATGGTGTTGTCTGGGTGGTACATACATCCAGGCAGTTCTGACGCCCCTCTTTCATCACGACAACGCTCGCGCTCGACATTTCGGTGCACCTATATTCTTAAGCAGGAGATAAACAATTTATCACTGTGTTTCTCCTGCAGCCCACCCCCGCTGCTCTCCCACAGTGCCCGATGCTGGGCCACGAAGATATGATGAGTCATCTCTATGCACGAAAGGTCCCCCACTCAGTGCATCTGCCAGAATACAGTCCACCATTAGCACTGTAACGATCTCATGAGGCCGACGCACGATCGATGCAGATCCGGTGTGAGAGACCACGCCTATGCGAGATCGACGGCCGGAGGGAGGGCAAGGGTCGATGCAGGTATGAGGTGCAAGACCTAGCAACAGACATGCATGTAATTACCTCGGGCAATGAAATTTACTATGAATATTGGCGGAAAATCATACACCCGGAAATGACGTAAATAAAACCTAGCTCAGTCGAGGCAGAAAAACTGCCAGAGCTTAGTTGTATTAACCACCAAAAGAGTCCTTTTGGCGGTTATTTTCACTTTCCTCCGGCAGGGCATAAAACCGCCAGGTGTAGTTTTATATATTGCCATGCAGGTGGTTATTTCAAACACTTCTGCGGGCTATGAGAATTAACCGCATCCCGGCGTAGTTTTTAAAAATGCCCTGGCTTCCCACAGTGTAGAGGGAAAGAGCGAACATCACGCCCGTATCGACGGCACTGAAGAGCAGATGAGCGACGACCAGTGAGGAACACGTCAGGGCGATTTGAGCGCATGCTTCATGCTCCAGAAAGATGAGAGGATGGCAAGGCGTCGAATACTGGGGAAAGGGACACCATCGTCTATAGAGCAAGAAAATTCGTGTGATCCGGTGCCATGATCGGGCATGTTGCTTGCCGGCCGAAATATGAGATAAGATAATCTCTGTGATAACACCTTGGCTCCCCAGTTCTTGCGCGTCAAAATCCTCACTCGCCCTTTCAGCACCTTGCCTACATTATCAGAGACATTTGCTGAACCGTAGACGATATACGCACTCAGTCCAAGCTGGGGAATTAGCGGATGAAATATGACGGGATGGTCCTGAACAATTCGGATCTCAGCAGAACGGATAGTGAGTAATCTCTCCTAGACGAAGAGGTTGCGCAGAGGCTTACGAGCCCCAGGAGGCAGTAAACACGATAATAACTAATTTTTTCCCCTTTTAATCACGCCCATAGACTCGATTCTTTGTTTCTTCAAAAATTAGACTAATGATCAAGGTCAAATCTCGATTAATTTTCTGCTTACAACTCTTGTTTGAGATTGCGATAATAGTTACTCACAAATTTGAATTCAGGAGGAATCCATCCCCCCAAATTGAAAAGACTAGGTTTCGATGGCATAAACGTGATGCATCCTTTCGAGGAAGGGCGGAAGTAGAATGCCTTATTACAAATCGAAACGCGAAGGGTTTTCTCTACAGAGAAGCAAATTCTCGTAGTCATGTAGAGGGAACCTCTCATCGAGGAATTCTTGAACTGCCTCCAAACCCTATAGTATAGTACGAGGCCCACTGAAAGCTGTTGCCTGAAAATTTGACTGACGCTAGGGTATATATCTCAAAAGAATTGGCCCCATTCACGGTAATTCTACATGACTCGAAGGATAAAAAGATTGAATCGACAAGGGCAATTTACGAGGCGTGCGCTTTCAGTCACACGGCCGCGTTCGGACACACTGACAGCGAGTAGCAGAGTTAGAAGGTATATCTACATTGTGTGTATCAAGCAGCTAACTTCGTGTGCGAGGCGCGCGTAATGCAGACGATATAATCCCACCGTCATTCTCTGGCACTTCGCTCGTTCACATCCAGACTGTGGGACGGCGACGAGGTAGGGAGAGAGGAAAATGTGTGTGGTCGACCCTAGACGGGGGAATACATAGCGAGTTTGATCTTTTGAAGGGCCGCCATGGTTGAAAAGAGGCATCGACCGACGATGGGCGAAGAAAGAGGGCCTTCTGAGCGCGGGGTAAGAAATCCTCCATCTCGATGAGGGTGTGTAGGTAGGAAAATCGATTCCCTCCCTGGATTTATTAAGTAGCTTAGAAAGAGGTAGTTAGACGACGCGAAGGAGGGGGGAGGCGATCAGGAAAGAGCGAACTCCAACTGTATCTAGGACAAAATAGACAAGACGAGCGGAGTGCACATATGCATGTAAACGTGCGCATGCCAATCGTGTCTGAGAGAGAAAAAACAGTAGGAGCTCGCTCTTTCCAGCTTCCATATGCCAGGCCATCCCTAGATGGCGTGTCTTCAACTGGGTGGAAAATATGGTGACAATTTCGGCATTGAGAATGTGAACACTGAACAGGTTAGAGAATAGTAGAATACAGGTTACGGAGGGTTGGCAGGATGTCAGCGGCCAGGAGGGACGAGGTGTAGCACCCGAGTTAGATAACTTATCTAGCCTAGTCACGATCCATGGAATATGAATGCGATCGAGCAATTCAATAAGGCGGAGGGAGCCGAAATTCCACAAAGTTTCGAGATGAGGGGGGTTGAGATATGATATAATGCTGGACGCGAGAGACGCTGAGGAAAACGAGCACTGGGGATAACGCTGATCCTTCGAGGCGGATAGGAAGAAAACCAGTGTGTAGGGGATGGGGTAAACAGGAGGTTGGTGGCGAATTTGGATGAGGCGGAGCCGAGGAGGAAAGAGCAAAGACCAATCCCAGGAAACAGGAGCGCAGGCAAGACGAACAGATGGCACGTCGATATGCGACTGTGAGTCGTATCTGAGAGGTAACAATTTCGCCCTTTCCTTCCTTCGTGTATATGCAGAACCGCGTGATCAGGAGCGGAGAATTTGGTACCCAGTGGGAAGACGTATGTCAGCGACAGAAGCACGAGAATTTTGAGTGGAAAGGCGGAGGGCGAAGGGCAGAGAAGATCGGCCTCGAGGAGGGACGAACGAGCAGGCTGAGGATCCGCCATCAAGACCCATGAGCAACCTCATGCCCGTCGACGAAGTCGGGGACGGTCAAAGCGTGGGGAGACGAACACAGAGGCTACTCATTGGTTTCTCGAGGCGGATGCGAGATGGGATTGAGAGATGCCGCTGATAGGGGGAAGATTTACGGGCGTCAAATTGGGCAAACTATTGGGAGATCAGTGCGATTGGGAGATTCGGCGAGGTACAGCTACCCCGAAGTTCATGAATGTTGGAGACGAGATGTGTTGTAGGACGATATCGGTTGCTTGGATGAGACGCTGAGGGACTGATAACAAGAACTACGCACCAGATAGCCCAGAGCAAAGTCTATCACACTATATTTCTTTCTTTCGGCCTACGTTTGTTCATTCACCCATGCACACCAGTCGATGATGGCTACGAAGGACGAGGACCACTCGAGAAAGACGTCTGCTGAATGAACTAGGCAGGCCTATAGAGCGACAAATGTAGATAAAAAGATCCGCACCTGTCCCATGTTCAATATGAAAGGATAAGCGGGAGAGATAGGAGGATGGAGAAGGGGGGAATCTGACCGACCAGCGGACCGCTAGAGATGCGTTCGATTTGGGACAATGATGCAGCCGGTCGCGATCTGAGTCCATGGAGCCTACGTGCGTTGCGATGTCGAGAGATACAATGCGTATGATACGGATGAGAAGAGCGGAAAGGAAGAGCACGAAGGTGGAATCCACTGGTGGTAGAGGTAGAAAGAAACGTCGCTCAACTCGCAGGTGTGACCCCTGTGACCGCCTTCTTCATTTAGACCACGACGCCCCTATCTGAAGTAAACGCCGCTCATAAGTAGTGAGGCAGCGCACCCATTTCATCGTTCGACGAGTCGTCGCAATTCATCTAATTGCTTGGAAATTATGACGTAAATAAGATTAGGAGGATCATAAACATACGACGCCCAGAAGAGCATACACACGGTTGCTACACCATCGAGAATCGAGACACCAAGACCACCTGGCAGGATTTTTACAGGGCACGAAAATTTGAAACCCAGCTAGGAGATTCGGTTACAAGATAGATTGAGTGTCGTCTTGAGGGGGGAGGGGGATGACGAGGGGGGCTAAAAGTGAGATATGGCAATTAGCCACCCAAGAAGGGATCGAAGAGGGATAGCTGTCCATTACATAGCTTCTGTTTCTTCGAGACGTCGGCGAGAAGGGTTCGTTTCGTACACGGAAGCTCAAAAGGCTCATGCGGGCTTTACAGCCGTTTTCCTATCGATAGGCCAACATAAGCGAAATACACACACTAATCGCTTAGGCGGAGTCGCGATTTAGATGCCGGAGACCAACGGATAGAGCCCGCCGGGCTGTCCTACCTTGTCCTACTTGCGCTATTCAAAGTCAACAGCAAACGTGTTCTTGAAACAGAATGAAACATCTTCAAGGTCATCCTCGAGGTTTCAGTGTTCACCAGACGAGGAGGATGTCAACTTTGTCAAGAGTATGCGGCATCGTACCAGGCTCGACCATTGTAATTTATACACCCTTTTCTGCGGCCTGCCCACTTTCCACAAATTTCCGGGTTGACGTTGGTTCGTGAGGTCTATTGGCGCTGTCACTGGTGACTCGGACATTCTCGACAGCCATGTGTTCTGAATCCACATACATAATTTTGCCAACCCGCGGATCTCTCGCCTCGTCCAAAGAATTATTGTAGCAGCTGCTCGTCCTCACCAGCTCCTCTGTGGTTCTCGCAGGCCATCAGCTATCAGCGGACGCTCTCGGCTTGTGAGAGGGCCCTAATTTTCAGAGTCCGCTTGTATGTGTAACTTTGTGTACTGCTTTCGGTACGATCTTCGGAGACTGCTGACTGAGTCCAAAGGTGGGTGATGGCTATGCACAGTCTAGGTCACGATAAGTCCGTAAAGCGGCAGTACGTCGGCAGACTGGCGAGTCCAAATGACGCTAGCTATAATATATGTCATGGAATCCTCGGTTGTCAAATTGGGAGTGACAAAAGACAAAGAGCAAAAAACTAGGTGTACACCTTTTGGCCTAGTGGTTCAATCGCGCTGATAGCTGCTTTATCGTGTGAAATCCCACAAAGTCGATGCTCTAAGTCATCGGTTCGATTCCTGAGACCTACAATTTCTTTGATGGCGGCCTATCAATAAGAAAACGGCTGTAACTTCGAGGAATGGGGTGCACAACTTGGTAGGGCAAAAAAAAAACAGACTCCGCGTCTGGTCCTGGTGCGCCACACTGTCCATATGTACCAAGGGTGGGTTCAACAGATGCTTAGATGGGTCAACATTGGGAGGAGGCAACGAATGGCTCGATTGAGATTCACGACAGTTAGAGATCCAAGAGCTCGATATTGAACGTGTGCTTGGGCGATGATTGGCATGGAGATTTTTCCTTTGAGGAAGCACACCTCGAAGGATCCCAGGATCGCGAGAGCGTGAGGAGTGGTACAGAACACTGAACGTAAGACAGACCCCCGGGGTTCGAACATGTTGAGCATGCTGGAAATATTGAGTTATGACTTCAAACGGGAGCAAGGATCCGGCATTTAATCCACGACGTCTCGTCAGACCGATCCCGTCTACATCGCCAGGGGCTACCCAACTCGATGGACAAGAGGGTACCCGCTGCCCCGGCGTTTGAATGGGTACGGGACGAAAGTCGTGGGAGTGAAAGGTAGTTCCTCTGGTTTCGTCGTGCTATAGAAGAGAAAGGAATGATAAGGGAAGGGGAAGGAGATGAGACGGAGAGAGGGATTCGTGTGTTGGAGGAGAAACTGAGGGTAGTCTTAAGATCCAAAGGAAGAGTAGATGGGAACAGAGCGAGCACGGACGGTGATGCTGGCTTCGTGTGCTTGAATATCCGTTCGCGATTCAGCACGAATGCTAGCTACAGCCCGATCGAGGATGAATGGGCGGGTCGATGCTGTAAAGCTGATGCGAATTCGTCTTCGACCTTATCCACGAGGATCCATTCAGAGATCATAGACGATCGCAACGGCTTCGTGAAGACCGAAAGGGAAGGACGTCGAAAGGATGATCAAGCTTGCAGGAAAGCACGGGTCCTGATATCGACGAACTTCGAAGGGGATTCCGCCAGGAGGAACCCAGACAGAGCAGAGGAGTCCATTCGTTAGGCATCTGCCCTTGCGGACGAAATAAGTGCCCTCAGCACAGAAGAGTCCACGTGGCGGAGAATCGAAGACGCAATGGCCCGGGCCCGACTGAGTGAGGTTGCTACTGATCAGACGAGATGAGATCAAGCACGAAATTCGTGGTCTATATGGGAGAAAGAGACCTGTTGAGCGGCAGATGAATCACAGAAAGTCCACTGCCTTGCACGTACGACAAGGAATTTGGCGATGGACGCAACGTCAAAAGACAAGACGAGGAGTTCCGCTGGTCAGATTGTGCGAGTGTACGCCGTGAGCAGCGGAGACAGCGATGGACATACGCGACGTGCACGCTATGAGTGAAAGGTCGGGTGAAAGCGGAAGATACTTATGGTGAGATCTTTCGAAAATGATCGCAGATGGATGATACTTCGTCTGCTGGTCGCGTAGTGGGGGATCTCCGCCGTGTAGCGAAGATAAGTCATGTCATGCTGAAGATCGATAAGTAAGAAATGCACACGCGGACTGGAGGGCCAAACTCACTAATTTCCAGCTGACTATGCGGATATACCCCATCTACAAGCCTATCCGCAGCGTATTTCACGGACGGAGTTGCACGAGGGCTATAGAAAACGAGAGGGGTTGACACTTCTATCTTATGCTGCGATGTGGTGGGCGGATCGTCGTTGCTATCATGGGCAGAGACGCACCTCATCCTGGAAGATCCGAGCTGCTGTAGGCGAATTTACGTGGTGAGGATTTGCGCGTGATTCGCGGGGTGCGTTGGAACCGTCTCTTCTGCTATGCAAGGGTAGATATCAGCGAACATCGTTTCGAACACGGCAAACGAACATACGCGTCATCGGGAGGCACATGTCGTCGTATTTTCGTAACTTGAAGACCTATTTCTGATGTTTTTTTACAAATGGTATTTGTCGTGGACGGCCAGTGTAGAGAGGAGGTCGGCTGCGTCATAGTTGTGTCGTGTAAGATGAGTGAGTGGACGAAGCAACTTAGAGAAAACGAAGGCGTTGAGGTTTGTCACGACGTGACTGTAACACTACGGCGTTCTCGGCATCCTCATCCTCTCGCGCGGCCCATGGATGGTCGGCTCACATGGGGACCACGGAAAGCTATCATAATTAAATATAACAAGACAATATACAAGTCTCTTGAGTCGAATCCTACTGGACCTCAACGGGAAAATTTGGCCGCTAAGCACTCGGAAAATCCCCAGAGAAGGTTGAGAGCGGAATGAAGAAGAGACATGTGGTTATGTCCAACTCACGACGCCAACCCTATCCCGCCGAGTCGTCCACGCATCCTTTATCCACGCTCCCCCAGTGGGACCAATACCTCCCTTACCTTTACGAGCTGGTCGAACTCCACATCTGGCCCTCTTGCGCCACATTGTCCATATATACCAAATGTTGGATGAACAGATGCTTACATGGGTCAACATTGGGATGGGGGGACGAATGGCTCGATTGAGATACATTTCATGAGAGCTAGAGACACAAGAGCTCGATGTTGAACGTGTGCTTGGGATGATTGGCGCATAAATCTCTGCCTCCGCCTCAAGCCGACGCGAATTCATCTTCGACCTCATCCACGAGAATCCATTCACAGATCATAGACGGTCCCAACGGCTTCGTGAAGATCGAAGGAAAAGGACATCTCAAGGACGCCCAAGCTTGCAGGAAAGCACGTATGCAGATGTTAACGAACTTCGAAGGGGAGGAATCCTGGCAAAGCAGAGGAGTCCATTCGTCAAGGCGTATCTGCTCCGCGAACGAAATACCCTCAGCACAGAAAGAAGAGTCCATGTGGTGGAGGCTCGAAGGTGCGACGCCGCAACCGAGTGAGTGAGCTCGCTGCTGATCAGATCAGATCAGATCAAGCACGAAATATTCATGGTCTGTGTATATGGTAGAAAGAAAGCCGTCGAGCAGCAGGTGAATCACAGAAAGCCCACTTCCTTGCACGTATACCGTTACGTACGACAAGGGATTGGCGATGGACGCACCGTCAAAGGAAAGGACAAGACGAGGAGTTCCGAGTTCCGCTGGTCGGATTGTGCGAGTGTACACTGTGCGCTGTACGCCGTGAGCAGGGGAGACGGAGACGGCGATGGATGGATATGCGCGACGTGCACGCTATGAGGAACGGCCAGGGTGAAAGCGGAAGATACTTATGGAGAGATCGGAGGGGTTGGAACGGTGGGAGTTAAGATGGAGTGCAGGCGGTGAACAGAGAGGCTGATATAGGTATCATGAAGCGATTAGATAGATCTTTTATAGAGGAGACGATAACGACTTCCATCGACGGGGCGGGGGAAGGCCTGGGAGGACTGCCGATAAGGATCTCGGTAAAGAGAAAAAATACTGACTGACGTAAATTGTATAAAATCGCGCCGATAGAGTCGGTCGCTGTCGAAGCCTCGAGAAGTCTTAAAGTCTTAAAATCGTGAAGGCCAAATGTCGCTTGAAGAGAAAAAGCACGCGGGACCGACAACGACACCGAGTTCACGATCGGTCACGTCTTGTCAATGTCACGTCACACATTTCTCGTGGTCGTGGTCGTGATGGAAATCAGCCTGCTTCCTTCCTTCGAACTGTCAGTGTCTCTCAACCCCCTCCCTGTCTCTTTTTTCTCTCCTAACACACATTCTGCTCCCGACCCCCGACCCCCAACTGAGACATACCTCGAACGACTGATATGAGTATGAGTGTTATGCCTGCTAGTGCTACGCCCCAACCGAGGACGAGGACGAGCGCGAGGACGGACATGAACGCAGAGGCAGCGGCGGCGGCGGCGGGTGTCTCGCGTTCGGAGCAGAGGAAGCTGCGCTTGCTTGAGATCGAGGCTGAGCTTGCGCTGGAGGAGGCTGAGGCGCTGAAGATGACCGAGGTACGTCTTCGTTTCGTTCTTTCCTTTCCTTTCCTTGCGTCGTTTTCGTTGACCTTGGGCGTGCACAGGAACAACGACGAACGCTCTTCCAGCCGTTCAAGGCTGTGAAAGTCGAGTTTGCGGACCTGGATGGGCTGCGCTGGACGCAGACGGCGCTGAGGAGGCTTCAGGTGCGTTTAGTTGGATAGCCTTCTTCTTCCTCGTCCTCGTCCTCGTCCCCCAGCCACATGTTGACCACCGTTCGTCGGCAGCAGCCACCCAACAAACGCATCCACCTCTCGCCTGAAGCACAACCTGCCACCCATCTTCGGCCACGCACCGTCTCGTCGGTGTCTGGTGCCACACGCGGCACGTTCGTCGTCCTCACCAACTCGGACCTCGCGTCGTTCGCGCCAGAGGAGACGATCCGTGCCCCTTCTCACCCGCGGAAGGCCAGGCCGTCGTTGCCTTCCGTACCTCACCAACACCACAACCACCCGCACGCGCGGGTACACTCGTCTGGGACACCAAAGACCCCATCAGCGCCCTCCGGCACGCTCTCCAGCTCGTTCTCGCTCGCGGATGTTACTTGCAAGCACCGCGACGGCACACACAGTCGGTCGCCGGTGAAGGGCCTCTTTCCGGCGAGGTCGTCGCCTTCCCTTCGGTCCTCCGAGCCGTATGTCGGAGCGATTCCGAAGGTCGTTGTCGAGAGAGAGAGAGACATCACAGACGCCGAAGGCGCGCACCTGGAGAATGAGGAAGAGGAGGATATCACCTCTCTGACGTACGACCAACCGCCCCGACCTTCAGTCGTGCCGCGAGGCCACTTTAGGCGGGACTACCCTACGCCGTCTGGGTTGGCGCCCCCGGACCCGATGGATGACGACGACGACGACGATGAGGAGTTGCTGGAGGGGGGAGTGATGTCTACGCCGACGCCTACGCGGAGGATGTACGAGGTTGTAGTGCACATGGAAGAGGAGGATCTGACCGCCGCGGTGCTCGATGGCTCTGCAATGACGACGACGACGACGACGACGACAGCATCCGTACCGCCAACACCTACACCTGCGACAGCGACTGGGACGCTCCGCGCCAGAACACGTGTTCCCTTCGCCCATTCCAGCGCCAATTTGAATCCGGCGTATATGCTCGTCCCATTCCCAACTCGGGATGCTCCAGCTCCGCCCTCTCCGCGTTCGCCATTAAGAGCGAACGTACTTCCCCTCCGAGAGGCGGCAGCCACGTCTAAATCGGTATCAACCTCAACATCGACATCGGCGTTGACATCCTCGGACTTGGACGCAGACACGGCCATGGACGCGGACATTGATATTTCTTCGTTACTCGACGCGCCGCCTACACCTTCCACCTCCACACCCTACGCGACACCCACCACACCTCCATCCGCCTCCGCCCCCCCGTCCTCGTCTGCCCTGGCCTACTCCGCGACGTCAGCGCGGACGCGCCTCCACTCCCTCCTCTCTGACACGCGGTCTCCCTCCGCCTCCTTCGCCTCATCTCTCTCCTCTTCCGCCTCTCTCTCCTCTTCCTCCTCCTCCTCCTCCTCCTCCTCCGCCTCCTCTTCCCCATCGCTCTCTACCTCCGCCTCCGCTGCTCCCTCTTCCGCCTCCGCCTCCTCCTCCTCTGCCTCCGCCTCTCCCCCGACCTCAACACCCTTCTCTCCCCCAATCCCGCCCACACCCACATACACCTCATCAAGGACCTTCTCCTCCGCAGGCCAAAAGCGGCGCGCGAGCGCCCTGCTCGAGCTTGATCTCGATGCTTATTCTCTTTTTGGATATGGGTATGGTGGGTATGGTGGATATGGTTACGGTGTGGATGCGGATGGGGGCGAGGGCGAGGGCGAGGGCGGAAATGAGAGGGTGGATGAGAGGGTGGATGGGGCAGAGAGAGAAGAGAGAGAAGAGAGAGAAGAGGAGGTGGATGATGACCCTACGCCCATGCCGAGTCCGATTAGCGCGAGGAGGTGGACATAGGTTGGTTGGTTGGTCTTTCGGCGGGGGAGGGGGCCGGACGAGACGAAACGAGGGAGGGGGCGCTGAACGAAGATTATGACTCTTATGACCTATAGACATCAAATAACCAACGAAGGACGAAGGAACGAAGGACGAAGGAAAGAAGGACGAAGGAAGAAGGAAAGAAGGAAAGAAGAGAGAAGGTAATAATCCGTGTATCAAAACCCATCCTATGTTCGCTCCTCGCTATCTATCCGTCCCTATATGCTACTCCTCTATCTTGCTATCGATATCATCGATATATTGTCGAGATCGTTTATTACTCGTTAACCTGCTTGCTGTAGTTTAGTACTATCATTTGTTTAACTTTTGTGTACGTTTACTACTTGTGTTGGTGTATTGGAATGAAGTTTTTGTTGAAATTTGACAGTGTGTGTTCTTCGGTCAACGGTGAGCATTTGGTGTGTTGAGTTTCGGTGTGAGTGCATACGGAGCGTCGTTGTCGAGTACGTGAAGATAATGAGGTAGATGCTTAGACCGAGAATTAAGACCAACGTACACTTTAGCTACGATGATATATTTCATTATAGCTCGAACGCACCCAATTAAAGGATGTAAACGAACGGACGTTCGTCCGAATTTCGAGATCTTATTCTCCCGGAAATGTAATTACTTATACACCCTCGGTGCACCTCGAGTTTACTCGGGCTTGTAATCTCGATTGCTAGGGAGGATAACGACGGGTCCGGTGGATGGAGTTAAGCCGTATAGACCACGATAAATATACCAGGCCATGACAGATACCTACAGTTAGTTATAAGACGTTCAGACGAATCGGCGTCGTGCAGAGACGTGGATCGGTTGTACCGCCCTCACGAGGATTTTTGCCGGCACGGAGGGCACAAAACGGAAGATGGCCGGGAAGGGGGAGTCTGTAGAACGGCGATGATATGCCACGAAAGGGTTGACATTTCCGGCGATTTTTGGCGGTTAAGAAGGAATTATGTAAACGCAGCCTGAGCGTCTGCAGAAAGAAAGAGTGGGACGCAGCCACGCTCTTCAATGCGCAAACTTCTCCGTCTCGACGAGCATGTGGAGGAACACGCATCCTCAGGGACGAGTTGAGGAGAAAAGAGCAAAGTCCCCAGAGCATTTGATCATCATCACAGACGAGACGAACAAACGGCACGTACATGTGCGAGTGCGAATCGTGTCTGAGAATTCATAGTAGCGGAAGTACCTCGCTCTTTCCTTCCTTCATTTGCCGAATCGCGGGCGATCGGCTGAGATTATGGTGTGGAATAGGACGGACAAGATACCAGTTCTGGGATCTTGAATTAACGCGTAGGAGGATGGATGTACGACAGCCGAAAAGACGCGCAAAAGGCCAATTAAAACTTGGATTTCGGACGGTGGAGAAGGGTATCCATAAGAGGAGGAGTGAGACAACAGGAATTATGCCTAGAAATTTAGAGCGAGAAGAGGTAAAGAAATAGGGCATCGGCCATGAGGAGGGGCGAACGAGTAGCGCCTTGGCGTGTGGTGGGGTTATCGCGAAATACCTCACGCCTCAGCAAAGGCGAAGGCCCGATATATCTAGCGTGAAGACACGAATCCAGGCGCTGACTCGTTAGTTTCCTCGGGGAGGATGCGGGGTTGGATCGAGAGATCGTCGTCCTCAAGGAGCAAAAGGGCCAGTAGACAGAAGCAATTCCAGAGAGTGCGAAAGATCGGTAGCAGACAAAGACTCGGACAGACAAAGACTCGGAGGCGGGTGCGATGAGCGCGACAGAGAGATTTGAGAGGTAGAGGGATCATGAAAATGGTGAAGATTCGCGATGAGGGGCGCTTCGAGATGGAAGATCGAGCTGGATCAGTGAGACGCTGAGAAAACGATGCGCGGAGAGAACACGAATCGCCCTACGCACCAGATATCCCGTAGCCGAATCTAACGCGCTTGCCTATCTTCCTCTCGCACCACGTCTGATCTCCTACTCTTCCGCGTACTCCACACTGGACGATGCGAAGATAGCCGGAACCCAGCGCTCAGTGGATATTAAGAGTTCCTTGTGCAGCCGTTGGATTGAGGGTGGAAAGATCGATATCGCCCATGAGGACATCCTGCTTGTGTGAAGAGGAGACAAAGAAGAAATCAGCAATATTGAGCATAGTTTCATGAGAAGAAAAAGAGACGGAGCGGATAGGCACAAGCTCCCCGAGACGAGGAATCGAGGATCTAGATTCTTGAGGTACGGCGACGGAGGGTCCAGATTCCTGTATGTTAATGAGCGGCTGAAGATTCACATTCATTGACGAACACTCCTTACATAGGTATCTCCAGTAATAGAGGCATGGCGCGTGAGCGCTGAATCAGTCGGCTCTTTACAGGAGAAGATAAAGCGAGAGGGTGGTGAGGTATCTGAGATCCGAAGTGTGACAGCATGCACGATTCATGCTTCCACGAAGATGAGGGGTAGACAAGCTGGTCACCGAGGACTGAGGAAGAGGTCGTCGCCGTCGTGGTTATCGTAGAGAGCAAGGAACGTTTGTGCGGCTGATTGTGTGTCCGTTTTGGCTGCGCCGCCTGACCGCCGATAAGATAGTCGCAACGCACGATAACGCCCTGCTTGGTCCTGGTCCACTGCTTGCGTTGTTTACACTGAGATTGTGAGTAAAACGTGCTTTCGGTCATTACGATACATTTAGTTTACGAATGGACGTTCATCCGAATTTCGAGATCCTATATCAAATGTACTCTAGAATAATTATACTTCAAACCTCGAGGCACGATGACGGGAATGAATAGAGTAGATAGAGATACCGTCCTGTAGGTATGCTGTTGCACAGTACGAAGACTCCTAAGTTGAGAGGCGCAGATCAACTCGAAAAGGTCTGCGTTCAACATAGAAGACACGCCAGCCGTAGGTGTTTTCCCGCTAGGGAAGGGAGGATAGCGACAGCTCCGACGGATGCTCGGTCAAATCATCTAGATTCGAGGTCACGATAAATATGCAAGACCATGACGGATATGTATCTGCAGTGAGTTATAAGACGTTCAGACGAACCGGCGTCGTGCAGAGACGTAGAACAGATGTACCACCTTCATGGGCATTTTCGCCAGCACGAAGCGAAGGGCACAGAATGGAAGATGGCCGGGAAGGGGGGGCTGTAGAGCGGCGATGATATGCCACGACAAGGCTGCCAATTGCATAATATTTATTGGTTGGACTCGAGAAGGAACTAAACACAGCGTCTGCAGAAAGAAAGAGGGGAAGCTCAGCCACTCTTTGCGATGTTTTGGGTGTTTGTTCCTCATCCCTCGTTCTCACGCACCCCACCGTAGGCACATCAGCGTACTGTCCGAATAGAAGGCGCTATAGAAGGGAAATAGTGATCATGAACGGTCAAGTAGGTAAATGACTGTTTTCAGTCCGCTCTGCAGTGTATAGCCTGGGTAACAAGGACGAGATGAAAGTATGGGACGCCGCGTCAACCAGTTATAAACGGCTCGGGAACGGGAAAATGGGACAGGTGAAGAATTGGAACGGAGAATGAGCATTGACTGCCGAACTTGATGGCTAAATTCACGAGATGGCGACGGACTGTAGGCTCTGTAGGGCGAAGGAAAATACGTCAGTAAGGTAGAATCGAGGAGCTATGAATTAGATATTTACCGAAGCTAATTGTCGCTCGTAGATTGACGTTTCTGCTCCTCGTGATATGCTCTTGAATATAACATGAAATCATCAGTACTGACAAAGTCTTTTTTCCAGTAGGAGATTTTGATGTCAATACCGCTAGCAAGAAGCTTCTCAAACACCTGGAGACTTTCTTTGTCAATGCAGTAAATGTGTTTAGTTTTCTCCTCAGCTACGACCAAGGAAAACCGCTTGAGAACAGGTAGACCAGACTCCGCATGGTGAAGAGATGCCCTTGCTTCAACAGCCTTGGAGATCTCTTTCCATGTGAACATGCTGATCCAATCTGCCAAATGGCTATTGGAAAACTCCACCAATGACGGTAGGAATCTCCGCTCTTCATTGTCGGCTAGGAGTTTGAAAAAGTTATCAAACATGCAAGTCCCTTCTATCTTGAGCCGTTCTACGGTCGGTATGGCCCATAGAATGTCACAAAGTTCAGCGCGGTGGTCGGAGTCGGAACTTAGGTGGATAGTGAGTGACTTGATGGGGCAAGAGGATCGGACCAGGAAGGACAAGAGAGGTGACATCGTTGGGTAGGCACCGGAATAGACCAGTGAATTGAGATCTGGGAAACAAAGGGCATCAAAAAGGGGAGAAATGGTGTGTTCCCATATTTTTACAGCAAATTTGGTTAGATTTTGATGGATTATGGGGAGGTCTTGATAACCGCTAGCAGCCTGGATGTCGTACTGCAGGTATTCAGCTCTACATTCACGGAGAAGAGGCGCTGCTTTTAAGAGTGCAAAGATTTCATGGAGCGTAGGGAACCTGATAAATAGATTAGTGACATTACACCAATTTATGTGAATATTGTGTGGCCTGCAGTAGGAAAGGGAGACTGTATGGGGAGCGGGGAGAGAGGTTCCTAAGTCGAACTTCCAAATCCGACTGTCTTCGTCATCCTCATCATCGGGATCGGTGCCACGAATCTCGAGGTGAGAGAGAAGTGGTTTGCCAATAAAGTTGCCCTTAAGGGGACTGAGTAGATGGATAGGCATCACGACGGAAAGTTTGCCCCATCGATGACAGTGTGCGTTGAGAATTTCGATGATGGGGCGATACTGATTCTCGAGTTCTTCTTTAGTGTATTGCGTGGAGCTGACTATGAGGTCTATCGAAAGCGGGCATTGAGAGGATCGTTGAAGCCAATGATGGAGCATGTCTTCATACGAGTACCGGCCTGAACGCAGGTCAGGTCGAAGGCGAATAGAGGCCCACAGCAACGGCGTCGAGTGCGCTATGACCCGCCACTTCTTAGAGACAGCAGACAGGGCCAGCGGTATCCATCTTTCGACTCTATCTTCACCGTCCATGCAGAAACAGAGGATTTTCGAGGCGATTTCGGTCGGGAGGAGGGATGTGAAAGGGTCATGAAAGGCGTTGGCGCCACGCCTCAAGGCGGCACGGTGGGCTTCGAGATGTCGCAGATACGCGCGTGTTTCCTCAATGTGCTCGTCCATGGCCTTGACTTGGATGCAATTGGGACATGAAGCGGCCGTTGTCTTCCAAGATACGCAGGTGACGTCTGATTTCTCAGCGCCAAATTCGCCTTCTTGACCGCAGATAGTGCACGAGAAATGGGCCATGATGGAGATCGACTAGAGCGATAGATGGATTTGATCACCCATCGAGGGGTTCGGTGGAAAAAGGAAAGGCGCACCTCGGTTCGTGGTCGGTGTTCGTGTTCAAGCTCAAGCTGATGAGGCGATTAGATAGAGAGATGTCGATTCATCAAAAGAGTAATAATTGAAGCGTTTGTCCCAGGTTCCGACGAATCTTCCCCGAAGTTGTCCTGATATAGAGTGCTTTGGCAAGTCTCCTAGAGAATCATTTATCTAATTTTCCCGTCTAAAAATAGTGCAAGTCCACCCGTTCCTTGATAGAATGGCCTTAGGAGTGAAGATAATCGGTGTGCGAAAGGCTAGGAAGGGCGAACAAAATTAACCGGCCTCAAACCAAGAAAGACGACCGCACGAGAAAAACTAGGCGCAAATGAAGTGAACAAAACCGACGCTCGGCAGCTCTGATGGGAAAGCAGACACAACACGGAAATTATGGATGAACAAATAGAAATGGGAGAGCACGTACGAGAGGGGCGACGTGGATAGAGAAGTTGAAGGCAGACGTCAAGGGCGACGAAAGGCTCATTTAGTCACGAAAACATGGCTATTATAGACTCGAAACAAGAACAGGAGATGATAATAGGCTTTTTAAAGCGGATTGCCAACCAAACGTCACGGGTAAAATTCATTGATGAGCGAAGACCTGGATAAACGAGAATGGCTGGACAGAGGACTTGAAGAACAAGAAGGGAATTAGAATGAGCACAACGACTTAGGGTAATCCCTCTAGTAGACACTATACCGTGCTATAAGCCCCCCAGTCGACGCTG